TCTCCGCTTGACATTAAAGAATGGGTCATAAATCGATTGAAAGGTAAATCATATTTTCCCCTTGCAAAACTTTTCCAGAGGGGCAGGATACTGAGGGGCTCAATGGTTCAGGGAGATCAGAAGGGCTGGCTGCTTTCAGGTAATGGTTATATAYCTTCAAGTTTCTCACCTGCTACTGGCATTAGGGAAAACTCAACCTGAATTTGTCACCAAAGCTTGGGTTTCTTTAAACTTCTCCATCAGTACAACACTCCTTCTCACCTCCCTGCTCCCATCCTGTTCTCTCCCTTKCACATGGGAACATTCTCTCCTGCTAAGGTGAGACCAAAGCCTGAGATTTCTTTAGTTGGTGGGCAGGAGGATCTGTGGAAAGGCCCTCTCCAGCCCTCCATGGACAGACCCCATCCCTGGGGTGCAAAGTAGATGCAAAAGGAGGCAATTACTTCCCCCAAACAGAAGGTGTGTGAGGGCTCAGGCCTGAATGCAGCAACCTTTACAAACACTGTGCAACAGGAAGATTCCTGGGAGGGTGAAAGCTTCAAGCCCCTCTGCCTTGCAGGTGGCCAAGGAAAGGGCASAGAGCATTGGAAGCACCAAAGCAAAGCCCTGCCAGAGGCTGTGAGCCAGATCCTCATTCCCTGCTGCACCTTTGGAGTTTTGCTGCCGAAAGAGCCGCCTCCCAAATGAAGAATAGCAGATGTGTTTACCACACATCAATCTGTCTCTGTCTGGGTCCTTATCCGGCCCCCATCATCATCCTATTCAAGAGTCTGCAAAGTATTTAAAAATAGCATTAACACTAACAATCTCTCTTTCTTTCCTCCCAAGCTTGTAGCAGAAATAGCTTGATTAGTGTACAGTTCTGGTGCTTCAAGGGGGAGAGAAATGAAACTGCAGAGCTTTGCAGAGTGGCTTTTCAGCCTTCTTCAGGCAGCAACTGCTGGCTGCTTCGCTGAAGCACAGGTTCTTCAAAGGATGGCAGATTTTAGATCAAGGACTGCTTGTTCTGCTCACATATTCTCAGGCAGATTTACAATGAGAAGAGAGAGGGAGGTGCTGCTGAAACTTTGGACCTTGGAAGAGATGTGCCTGATACCCCTTCCCATCCTCTGCTATCATTCTTTAACCACATCCCAAAGGTTGGGAAGGAAAGGAGTTGGGAAGGGTGTCTGTCCTGGGGCAGAGGTGTGGACTAGGCAGAAGAYAGCTCAGCAAATTCTCTGAAAATACCATCGAGCTGTAGCCTGACCAGGGAGGTGCTTGGCAGGCAAAACCACCCGTGTCTCATTGCATCCCTCAGATATGGATTTCAGGGGTGACCTTGAGGGAATAACTTGTCTTCTCCAGGTCTTATCCTCCGTCTGAGCAGAAAGGGTGCCACCTTCTCAGCTGACAGGGATGGTTTTACTGGCTTTATTATGTGTGTGCAAGCTTTTGAGATTTGTAATTACAAAGAGGTTGTGTGATGCCACTACCCAGCAAAGCTTCACAGGCCATGTCAGGTGCGGGCATGATTCTTAACTGATCTTTTCAGTAGTTTCCCTCCCAACTCCACATCCCCTGTGTGCCTTTTTCCAGGACTGCTGGCAGCCTTTTTTTTTGTGAAGTACCCCATGCCAGCCAGGCACCAGTAATGGCTCTCTTTGCTTCTCCCCTGACTTGAGGGAACTGAAGAGGCAAATTCTCAGCACAGCTGCTAACAGAGGGTCCCAACAGCACAGCATCACACACATTCCCAGAGCAGGGCACACGGGCAAGGTCCCTGCTGCCCTGTAACCAAATTCCTCATCAAAAGGAAGGGTGGGAAGCGTGAAAAACCCTCACCCCCAGTCCTTTAAGGTGCCTCAGCATTGCTTCTGAGAGCTGCAAGAGGAGGGGTGAGTCAGGAGAGTGGGGAGCAGCTGCAGCCACTCAGCCCAGATGGAGTAAGACCTCACAACACTGYGGTACAGCTTCCTCCTTTGCAGCACAACTCAGTGAATATTTTCCACWGTGTTTTCCTCTCCTGTGACTTACYGCTGCAAGATTCAGGGATGTGGTCTGTGGGTCTGCCTCAAGGCTGACACAGCATCAGCCCCCTTAGGGCATGGCAGTGGAAAAGCAAGGAAAGCAAACTGTGGGAATAAATTGCACACAGATTGCAACAGTAAGCTCTCTCCAGCAGCATCTCTCCCAGGATCTCGAAGCACTTATCACTTGGGAAGGAGCTTTGCTTAGCAGCAACCTCAGGATGGAGGTTTCATGGAGTTTCACATCATGTGCTTTCAGTGGAGGAAGTGTGGGCAGAGAGAGAGGGGCAGATGGCCTAGGAAGGCATAGCATGCCARGGAAGAGCTGCCACTGCAGTGTGGATTGCTGCACATGTCTGTGCTGGACAGAGCTGTGGGGGCAGGAAGGAGGAATGTCTTACCAGGGCTGCAGCTCCACTGCCATGTGGAGGAACACAAACTGCCCAGGCACTGCCTTCAGCAGGGACAAAGAAGACTGTAGCACACTGGATATGCCACTGTCACCTCCAATAAATCTACTGTGGATGGTCTGTCCAAGAAAAATATCTCAGCACAGATCCACCTGCCCCAGAACTGAGTCTCGTTTCAGAAGTGTGCAGCTTTTGCCAGGTGACAGCTCTGACTGGGGGAGGAGGGGGAGCATCTTCCTGWACTGCTGAGCCTCAGCCCCTCCAGTCCAACCATAGGACAGACTGACTAAACTCTGGCTCTGTGTGTAGCAGTCAAACAGCCATATCAAAAGTTGTGGGCATAAAAAGGAGAGCCTGGAGCATGAGCAAGCAAAGCCTGAGTGGTTTGGGCTTCCAGAGTTTGCAGTCTCCTTGGATCTGATCTCTTCCTTATGCTTTTCTACTCCAGAAAGAACCCCAGAAGTCAAAGTCAAGTCTTTGATAACCTCTCCTAGAGAGGTCCYGGGTTAAGTTGTTCACCCAAGGATTGCCTGCAGCTCACCAACCACCCAAGATGCCTGTGGTTTATAATCAGTCCATTATCTCCTCCCCAAGTTCTTTCCCCAGCCCCAGGAGGATAAAGGCTCTGCCTTATCCCAGGGAATGCTGAAAAACTCGATGTCTTACAGGTGTAGGCCACCAATTTCTTAGGTGTGGGCTTTCCTAAAATCAAGGTGCTKCAGAGCTGGAGCAACCCAGCTAGCTCATTCTTGGAGCAGGGTAATGCTTCTGTCAGTAGTGCATAAGGAATTCAGGCTTCTGCTGAGCCATCTGTGGGGAAGCATCTTGCCATTTCCTGACACCCACGTGCTGGCTTTCATCCATGAGCACATCCATGAGAACCCTTCTGGGATGTCCAAACAACCTGGGAACTTCATGCTTCCA